AACAACCAAAAAAGGAAAAAATGTGAAGCGCAACCACCTCTTCAACCATATAAAAAGGAACAACATTACAAAGCCAATTTTTACAGTGAGCACAGTGCATTTTAGTCTTTTAGCTGCCTGGTCTTCTAGCAGTACGTACACCGGTGGGTGAGCATTGCAGCGTGGTCGGAAGATACAAAAGCAGCAATTCAGACACTACATGTGTGCAGGGAAGTCCAAGGGCAGAGGAGCGATCCACGGTCAGTGGTGACCCTGGGGGAAGTCACTCACAGCCCACTCAGAAATGAGCTGCCCAAAGAGCTCCAGCACAAATCAGGCTTATAAAGTGTGAGAATGGGCTTTTCTTCCCGGAATACCAACAATGCAGTACACCAACCCTGCCAAGCCTTCCCCCACCTAAAAACCAACACGAGGACATCACGCAGGAAGACCTACGGAAAAACACTCCAGGTTTTAACAGAACTTTTAACACTTTGGGAGCCACAAAATGCACAAGGCCCCGCAAGCAGAGCAAAGCCGATGCGCCGGCTCCATGCCCACAGCCTGCAGCAGCCCACCTGCTGCTGCTAAGGTGCACACATCCATGTGCACAGACACACACAGACTCACGCCTGTTCATTTCAAGAGGACCCAAGCCAGTCACTTGGCCTCTTCATTTCTGAGCCACTTCATTATTTTGTGTTGTTAACGAACTCTGAAAGGACCCATCCAATTGCCGCCTGCACTCAGCTGGTAAAGACTTCCAAGTTCATTAAGCGTGTGCCTGCTTTTATCCTTTTTTTTTCCCCAGTGTTCTGGCTCACAGCTTTGGTTTCCTGAGGCTTTAAATGAGGGAAGCATGGGAGGAGGGAATTGCTACAGAAAGGGTCCAGCCTCTCTGCCACTTGGATGACATTGCAGGGGAAGAGGCCACGCCTCAAAAAAACAAAATCAGGTTTTCCTTTCTGACAGTAGTTTTCCGCCGTAAACATGTGGCTAAATAATTAATACATGATTTAATTCCTGCAAACTTCCCTTAAACTTCAGCACTGAGAAACAGCACAGACCACATTGCAGAGCCTTCTAAGACCCACAGCTGGCTATATGCAAAGCTTTTCTTTTGCTTTTCAATGCTGGGGTGACACAGTGTCACCCACCTCTTACTTGCCAGCACACGAGCAGCTCAGAGGTGGAGCAGCTTGAGAGGCAGGAGGCTTAGATGAAAGCAAGCAGCTGGAGTGTTAGAAATCCTGATGCTAGGTGAATGCTAATGAGAGCGGAAGATAGGCAAACCTCAGAGTTGCCTGCTCAGTAATTCCTGTAAAACCTGGATCCTTGCAGTATCCCTGCAGCAGACCAGAGTCATGGCACAACAGATGCCTTTGCAAAAGGAATCAAAACTAAACCAGATTTGCATACGCTGAGATACAAACATCGCCTAATTCTTTTCAGCTTCTCAGTAATGGCTGCTGGTCTGCTACACAACTGTAGCCCATGAGGTAGAATAGGCTCTACCAACAGTGAGCACCACCACTCCTGCTGGAACCACTGGGTGAAGTACATGCAGTGGCAAGCAGTGCTCTGTGCACTGCACATACCAGCCTGAGCTCCTTCCTCATGCCTGGTCCACCCAGGCAGATGGAAACCTCACTGGGAGCTGTAACTCATGTCACGCAGAGGAAAACACAAGCTGGAAGAGAGATCCAGAGACCTGGATAGAGCAAAGAGCCACTGCGCTCCCCCAGAACCTCAGTGCAAGACTTCAGGACTCCAGTAACCTGCCATGCTGCAAGCACTTTCTGCTTTTCCAAGCTCCAGTAGCTCTCCCTTCTCCTCTGTGGGCTAAGCCTGCACTCTTCCATAAGCCAGATGTGTGCATGCAGGCAGATGGGCACCACCATGGCAACAGGAGCAAACCAGAGGTCCCAGAAGCATCCCTGTGCTGCCCCAGCAGCAGTCACCTTCTGCCAGCCGTGGGCAGCTGGGCATGGAGCAGGCGCAGGCATTGCAGAGGCATGGAACCACCGAGCTGCCTGCACAGCGCTCTGTCAGCACATCCAGCACTGCAAGAATGATGCAAAAATGGGCTACAGATACTCCTGCAGGTGAGCCAAGAGAAAGTCTCTGCAGTCATTTTAGGGTGGAGTTCTGCGTTTCTTATTACATACACACACAAAACCATTAGTCTGACTTAGCATTGGTTTACAGGAAATTTAAATTCACGACGATGAGACAACTTCATCTTCTGTTTCATAGATGCCGTTACACAATAAAAGGGGAAGAAATGCCACACAACTTTAAACATCCTATAGAACAGCAAGAGAGGTTTCAGACTGCACTGCTTTTTATGTCTGTAGTCCAGCACATTTGTCTGTGCCCCGAAAATGTGATCATAATAAAAGGAACCGTATAAATCTCTTTTATCACAGGAAGAGGAGCGAACTCCTGACATTGCTTGGTTTGTTCTGTTTCCATGTGTTGATCAATATGCATTTTATGGTTTTATTTTAACTTTAAGCTACTGCTTTTTAATTTTTTTTTTTTAATCGGAGACTAACGAAGTACCATTACCACATAGCAATAAAAAACACACAAAGACTGTAAGGATTTCAGTAGGTCAAATTAGTTATTCTGCAGACTAAGAACCTGATTTACAAACAGATTAACGAGGCACTTTTCTAAGCTGCAAGAATGAAAACTCAACATATAATGCCAAGCAGCCTGCTCAGGTTCCTAGGAACACAGACAACATAAAGCAGGGACACCACCTCAGATTACTGCATACAACCACTTAAACATTACTATAATGTAAACACAACTTAAAGACATCAAATGCATTTTATCAACATTGTATTTAAAATATGAAATTTCCAGTTTCTTCCAGATAACTTCTCTCACTTGAGTACAAATTTATAACCTCCTCAGATGACAGAATGCTACTTTTATCAGCCTGTTAAAACTTTTGTGTATTTTTTTTTCCAACAGAGAGTGCACAAATATTCACTCCAATGTGGAATTCTTGTTAGCACGTCTATTTTTGCCTGTGGTCTATCTCAAGAAAAATATCAGAAGCCATTAGAAATATTAGAAAGTATCTCTGATGCTAGTTTTGTTCTTATGTTTGAGTAAAATATACATCAGAAACTTGTAGAAATTGGATTTAGAAGCAAAAACTAAGGTAAGACTAAGTAGATATGCTGTGTAGTAGCTTTGAATGCAGTAGGCTCTGTCAGTGTACAGACCATTCTACACATCAAAGAAATGATTATGATCAAAGACATTTAACTCTAAACATTGCACCCCAACTGTTTCAAATCTGAATTTCAGAGAACTTGACAGGCAAATCTGAATGTCATAAAGTACAGAGCAAGAGAGAAGCCAAGCCAAACTAAAACAAACATTTTCTTCCAAGGAATTCAACGTTGGCAAATTTGAAGTTCAAGTTTGTACCTTTGCATCAACATCTTAAACAATTTCCATGGTAGCACGACTGGCCAGATGAAGGCTGCAACTTTCAGGATGCACAAACAGAAAGTGATGTTTCTCAAATACAAATGCTGCTGCATAGTTAGCTCTGATTAAAAGCAGTAATGTAACACCTCCTGTTTCTTGTGGTGGATATTTGCCACTTGTCTTTTCATTCTTTTGAAGAAATGCTGAATACTTTAATACCACTCTTAAGAGGCAGTAACATCACCCAGTGCGAGTTATGCTCTGCTTCTGTCACAGTCAAAACTATTCAGCAGGCTTTGCCAATGGACTTAACAAGCTGGGAGAACAGGAACCTCTAGCATATGTAACAAGACTGTTAAACCATCCAATTGTTCTGCAGCCCATGCCTATAAATTCAGGTTTTAGTAGAGATATTCTTTCAACACATCAATCAAAACAGTTAATACATGGCAGCTTTGGATTTAGTAACTTTTGCCTCCAAGGCAGCACTGATCTTAGAAGCAACGTACTGAATTCAATCCTAACCAGAATCCCTCTTCTTCCTCTGCTTAAAGTGCACTTCTGTAAAAACTGAAAGTCTTCAGCAGACTCAACTTTGATAATCGTTTCCAATGACAGCTTCCTAACAGCACAGCACAGAACATACACTTCCAATGCTTACTGGAGAACGCATCTGAAGAAGTGTTTTTCTTGGAAAAAAAAATACAAAACAAAACAAAACAAGCCCAGTTTCCTGTTCAAAATACATGAAAAAGAAAGCACAGTGTGCTATAAGAAAGTTACCTACACACTGGGAGCACAAAGAAATTTATACAGATCTATACGCTGTGCTCTAGATAGAAATTCATCCTTGCTCAGATATCTAAAGGATAAATGTTATCCTCAGATTTCTGTGTAAACCCACGTAATCGTTTAAGGCTTTGCCTCCTTCCTGGATTAACTACTGTACAGTTAACAGAAAGAGTTCCACCTCCTGTCTTTTACCCAGGGGGGATATCCACTCTCCTGTCTTTATCTCCAGTGTATATTAAGCAGTCACAGAACAGTTGTGTTTCCAGAGCAGTGTCCCTTCAATGTACTGTTGCAAGATGAAACTTACTCCAGTAGACAGAATTGAGTATCAAAACACTGCAGAGAAGCGCAAATTCCAGTTAGAAAGTTAAGTAAGTCATCTTTCAGACAGAGAAAAATCCTTTTACTCAGATGTATAAATGTTCACCAATCGCTTCGACTGGCCATCGTGTTCAGAAGAGGTGATGCAGTGGACCATGCTCCTCAGCATCATGCTGGTTACTGAAGTGACCGAACACACAGAGCTCAAAAGAAAAGAGTAGTTTGGAAGGAAACACTGCCACACAAATTTCAGAAAGGGTGGTCAGGCACTGGAATGGACTGCCCAGGGAGGTGGTGGAATCACCGACCCTGGGGGTGTTCAAGGAAAGGCTGGATGTTGTGTTGAGGGACATGGTTTAGTAGGAGCTATTGGGAATAGGTGAACGGTTGGACTGGGTGATCTTTTAGGTCTTTTCCAACCTTAGTGATTCTATGATTCTATGATTCTATGAAATATGAAACCTGTTAGCTGTCAACAACAACAAAACAAACCGAGGGGTTGGGGTTGTTTAACATGGCAACAACGAGCGAGAAGGGGATGTGCAGGAAAACAAAACTACACAAGATAAAGTTCCCAGTCATTCTATGTATAGCTCCATTTCTCTGTACACACTCGTGTAATGAACGGCAAGAAAGCTGAAGGGGCACCAAAGCAGGTGGGAGTTTCTCTTCCCTCGAAGTGCCTCCAAGTTACAACGCAGCAGCACTTCTGCTTGTCACTGCTCATTAGTGCCCTCTGTTGCTTCTGACGAAGACTTGTCTGTTTTCTTCGATTTCCTCTGCAGTTGCTCTTGTTCCTTCTTCCGAAGCTTTTCCCTTTGCTTTTCCATTTTCTCTTGGGCTTTGCGAGCTTTCTCCAGAGACGCTTTCATTTCCTTTAGCTTTTTTTTAACGATTGCCCTGTCCTGGGAAGATGTCATACCAAGAGCCTGAGATAGGGAAAATTTAAAAAGATTTTCATATAGTTTATTCTATCACCATTTTTTCCCTATTTTTTATATCCTGGTAAAAACTCTTCTCAGAGAGAAGATGATCACAACTGAACGAATTTGTGATATTGACTACCGAAGTCAAATTTTAATAGCATTTTATACTTCTGAAAAAGTTTCCATCCTTCCACTTATAGAATATTAAAGGAGATTTCTCTGCAACCAAAGTTCTACTATATTCATTTCACTGAGGCAAGAAGGAAAAGAAATATTAAACTATTTGCCTGAGGTCATCTAAGTCTACAAAGAACAAGACTTCCCAATTCTCACTGCTATTCCTTAGTCAAAAGTTCCCTTGCTGTCTTCCAACTTTTTGGGGTGATGTTTCAGGGAGGAAACACTGAATTTTGACTTTCAGATATGCTGAGCCTCCCCCAACGCCTTCCTATATTTATTTTTTATAAAACTGAGCTCATATTTTCACTGCATGAACCAATGCATTCTTATACATCAGAACTGTATTTAATTCCAACATAGTACAATTGGTGTCCAGCTTTTGACTCTCCAGTACCACATTTTACAGTTGCTACTTCAGATGCATTTTTATTTACAATCTTCTATGCATTGCCCTGTTGTAAAACAGAGCTGGACGAGAACTATGTGCACGCAAATACCATTTACATATGGTCCCTTATGATTTATGCAGGAAACATTGGTACACTGTACCTACCCAGAGTTTTCACCAAGCCAATTCCCTCTGTTTCTGAAGCTGCCGAACCTAAGTGCACATGAGAATTTCTCTGAATGCTGCTCTGGCTTTCTACTCTATGAATATTGCTCAAGTCTATCATGATTCCACACACAGAAGCCCTCTGCTTTCTGGCAGAATTCTTAATTCCTCGATCTCAAGTGACAATAAATACAGTTAACTTTGCATTCCGCTCAGTCAGTTACCTTAAGCTTACTCCCATCCAGCTGAAGGAGATGCTCCCCATTAATGTTTTGGGCGCTGAATTCAGAAACGTACTGTTCAAGGTTCAGGCTCATTAACCAGTGGGAAACCTGCTGCACAGTCCACTCTTGCACAGCCCGGTTCTGGCACTGACTGTGTTTTGGAGACTGTCCGTCATCGAGGATCTGTGACAAAAATGTGCCGCCTTGTTACGAAAAGGGCAACACTGACCAGCAGTAGCATTTTTCTGCACAAACCACCAGCGTCAGAACACAGGTCCCCTACTACCCTTATCCTACTGTAACAACAAATTATCTGCACTGTGTTGCACCTGTATCTAACCAGGTATCTAAGAATTGATGCAAGGTACCTAAACTTTTCCTACTGATAGACAGGAGAAAGGAACTGGCATTTCTTTTAATCCAAAGGGGTTGAAATGGCCAGGTGGCACAGATCTAAGCAAGTACAGCTCCCACTCCCTCACAAGATCTTTATCCTTCAAGTTACAAGGTTTCTAATGGACGCAGAGTATTCTGCAATCCACTTCCCAGGCACACTCATTCATCTTTATTGTGTGTTTAAGCTGCAAAACAAGAAATTTAGGGGAAAAAAAAAGCCTCACAAAAACCATTCTGAAGTTCAAAGTGGTGACACCAAACAGCCAGCGAGACCAATGCTGCCTACAGAAGACTATGAAATGACACAGGAACAGTAAGGAACACACAGCAATCCCACAGCCTCCGCCCTGCTCTCCAAATATTGTCCTGCCCAGGAGAAGAGCACAAACAGCACCAGCAGGGGCAGGTGGGCCTTCAGCTGCTTCAGCCCTGAGTGTCCTCTCTGCCACTTCTTTCCACCCAAGGGAAAGCTGGTGGGGTCTGAAACAAAAGCCACTCTGTGGAAACTTCAGCCGGCACAGCAGCTGCTACAGGCTGCTGCAGCTGTCTCCTATTTGAACAGCTTTACCACTGGGTTAGATGATGCTGGGAGTTCTTTCAGCCTCTGGCCATCCATTTCTCAGGGATGGGGAAATGACAGTTTAAGCACAGCTTTTTCTGGCAGCCAGCAGAACCTCAGTGCAGCTGATGCTTGGCCTGGTGGGTGTGCTCTGGCACGGGCCCTCCTCCCCCTTCTAACATACCACAAAAGCTGCAATTTGCCATGGCCTTGAAAAGAGAGGGGAGCTGAAGACAAGGCAGGCGGAGCCAATGACATCTGTGTGTTGTGCTCAAACAAGGGCATTTGCCACACAACACAGGGAAACAAGAAGAGCAAATCTGCAAATGAGACAGTACATTGCCACACGATGGTCACACAATTCACCACAACAGCACACTGGTATCTCACCTCATCATCAATCATATCCAGGCTCTGAGTGAGGGAGCAACAAAGAAATGGGAAAGAAAAGCATTATAGAAACAAAATACAGAACATGTAACAGCATGTAAAAGTTTGGGTAAGGGTAGCACCAAGATTTGCAAAACAGATAAGGCTACTCAAAAAACAGAGATTTCTTTGAAAAAAAATTACTTCCAGAAGCAGAGAGGTTATGTTGAAAGCTCAGCACACACACGATTTGGCAGCTAAGCCAGAGATTGTGCCAATGAAGCCCCATGAGTTGATAGTCTTGACACACTGGAACCAGTGGGACCTTGCCTGATGGCTCCAATTGCAAGAGCAAAAACTACTTAGAGGACAACAGACCACAGGACCTGGGTTCCCTTCCTACCCTTTCCTCTCATTCTGCTTCAAATAATTATGTGAAGTCTGCCCAAGAACCATGAGCAAGAGAGCACTTGCAGCAATGCCCTACATCACGTCCAAGCAGCAGCCTCACCATGCCAGGGCACAACTTGGTACAATACAGGGTACAGAGAAAACCTGTTCATTTTTACAGACCAATTCAAACATGGCATTTTAGAAGCATCCAAATAGAAACAAGCCAAATGAAAGCATTTTCCAACTACTAGTTCTGGTTAGTTTCAGTGGGAACAGTTGCAATAAAATATTTGATAAAATGGGAAGGAAAATTATAAAAGCATGAAAAGTATTATCAAGGTAGAATTAATACTAAACAAAGTATAAATGATCTCTTTATTGTTTTCAGTAATTCACAGTATATGCAGTCTCCTACCTACTACTCTCCTATGATTCTTCTAAATGTTTACCCTTTCTAATCTGTGGTAAGTGCTACAGAATGACTGGCCTTGCAGACTTCCATTTTGGCAAACGGGGTTGGTACAGAACGGCTCTCATTCTTTAAACCTGTGCAAAACATGACAGCAGTAATAACACAAGCTTGTCATTGAAAAGAAAGGAAGCCACAGATTCTTGAAGTTCCTCCTCTCTAAAAAAAGCCTTGGCTCAAACCTTAAGTGAAAATTACGAAGTTCTTACTCAGCGTTTGTAAGAGGACAAATGCATGGGTTTCCTGAGTCCACAGGATGTACAGCGAGCTGTCAAACTGTGCAGTTTCATTGACTCGAGCCAAACAACAAGTATCTTAAAAATGTGCATTCAATATATTATATTCCACTCAATTCTGTCACCAGTTTATAGGGTCAGAAACGCTTTTTCACATTTTCACAGGTCAAAAGCCATCTAGTTGAAGAATCAAACTCAAAATCCACTGTGTATGTGCAAAGCAAGCACAAAGAATGCAAACTGGATTGACACATACACACTCTAATCACTATATACACACTGAGGTACAGAATACACAATAACTGCATGTACAGGTCATTATTATTTTAATATATCGTGGTAAAAATAGTCTAGATGCAGGTGCTTTACATTTTAACTATGTTTATCCAATTACACTGCATCTTTATCATCTGAAAACTGTCTCAATTATGTTTATTTTAGTGTATAGATAGGTCCACACGTACACATACAGAACGCAGGAGCAGTGTATTGAAATGTGTGAGGACAGAGCAGCTCTAAAGAAACCAGCTGCATTTAACAATACTGCACAACGATCCTACAATAATACCAAAGGCCACAGGCCAATTGTTTAAAATAATTACTGTATGAACAAGAAAAATTGAGATATTGAAACCAAGATTAATTCCTTTTCTTCTCCCTTTATATGCCTAAAACCATCCCTTCACTGCTTGAGTAATTATCAAGGGAAACGCTGTGGGAGAAAGAAGACAATCATTTCCCACCTTAAACAATGCCAGCAACATACCTCATCTGACGACAGTGCTAAGGAGTGTGAGAAACCTGGGGTTTTGGGTTCTGCTCCTAAACCACTCAGATCAGCTGAACTTGTGCTGCTGGGACTGAAGTCATCATTGAACGTGAAATTCTGTAGGGAAAAAAGATAATTTAGAATAAACAAATGATCTCAAATGTGCATCTAAAAGGGAAACTGCTTTTCTGTCTTCCAGGTTGGCACAGTTCAGAAGTGATTGCTTACCGAATCAGTCAAAATACACATGAGGAAGCACTGCTTTTGCACTGCTAATGATGAATAGAACATGCTATATGCTTTACCACTCTGTACAAGAGACTGCTCTGCCAGCTTAATGCCTCAGTGAGTAGCAAAGTGGTCTGAAAGCAGTTCATAGGCTTGCACTTAGGGAATTGGGTATCATCGTGGAGATAAGTTATTGCTTCCGCTGGTTAATCAGTAACGTGCTGCTGTCCTTCATATCGTCAGGACAAGCATAGCAGTAGTAGAAAGAGTAGGCCAGAGGATTAATTAGCAGAGGGAAGTGAAAACTGCTATTAAAAGAGCAGGGAGAATATCTTGTGAACCCAGTTCTGATTCCTCCCTCTTTGCCTATATTTCTTGAAAAAATCAAGTTGAAAGCAAAAGATACATTTGGATGCTGAATGTTAATTACTGAAGTAATAACCATAAAACAAAGATCATTTTTTGCCTAAGAAATTAATAACAAACATCACATCTTGTAGCAAACAATAGCAAGATTGTGTGCCTTTTTCCAGGAATGCAGCAAAGTGATCATTAGAAGAGTACAAAAATTAACATTTTAGAGTGGGAAAGTTGGATTTGTGAACCACAACAACTAAAACCTAAAACAAGTCACCGTGAAGTTTCATTTCAATTGAATAGACAGCTGATGATGCAGTGACCTTTGTTAACTCTTTTGAGACCTCTAATTTTTCCTCTATCATCTATATAAATAACAAACCTGATCCATCTCTGTCATTCAATTTTAAAAAATGGATCCAAACATCAAAACCAAAAAGAACAATAACATAAATTATTTTTTTATCCCCCCCTCCAAAATCTGATGTATTTTATCTGACAACAACAGGCCTTCTAAAAATACCAAGTGATGGTCCTCATGAGGTGTGCTGGAATTCCAACTGCACAGGTACTGGAAATTTAAGAGCTTGCAAACTTAAGAGAGGACAAGAAACAATCAAAAAGCTTTGCTGTTCAGTTTTCTCACACCTACTTTCAGAATAAATGTCCTGCTTTTCTCATCTCCTTACAGAAGACAAGAAAATCTGAACACTTTGAGCCCCGACGGCATCCTCAGGCCAGGTGTTCAACAGCTCCAACTCCTGCTCTGTGAAGAACACCTTCTTCCTCTCAACTATTCTGATTTTTATTTTACCTCTCTTTTCTGTAAGTTTCACATTTATGATTAATTTTAGCTTTTTTCACTGTCTAAGGGAAACACACAAGATAGCTAAAGCCTACTGATGATACCAATAATGGGAGAGCAGGACAAAGGAACACAGAACAAAACAATTTTCACAGCTTAACAGTAATTGTAAGAAGCGATGCTTTTTCCCATTTCAAAATTACTTTTACTCAGTGTTTGTTTAACAGCATAAACAGGATTTACACATCTAACCCTCATCTTTCTTATAAAAAGAAACTGAGTAGCTGATCAGCTGATTCAAATTCCTGTATATAAAGTTGAGAACTATATCTCAACTGGTTTCTTCTTACCAGACAATGCAAAAAGTAAACTGTTACAAGTTATGGAGGATCCAAGAAAGGATAAAGGCAGAGAAATACTTTCCAGAAGTGAAAATACACAAGAAAAAGCCAGTACTAAAACTAAGGGTTATATAATGAGTTATCATGCTGAAACATCCATGCACACAGAAAGGAATCACACAGCTGTATTAAACTGCAGTAGTTCCTGTTTATAGTTTGAGCATCTTCATATACAGAATTAAATCCAACATCCATGCATGCATGACGAGCAGATTTCAGTACTGGGGGAGAAAAAGGCAAATGACTGATGGCATACAGCATTTCTTCACTTGCAAACATCTCATCTGAATACGTTAAGAACATGTAGGTATTCCTGCAATCAGTCCTGAAGAATGCAGAACGTATCTATAACTGAATACACAAATCTAGCATTTGTTCAGTGGATCCAAATGCTAACTTCCACTGGCACCATTTGTGTTTGTTACAGTACAGCACAGCACGGTTAGTTTACTGAATTAATGTACATTAAGAGAAAGACAGAATAGAAAGGTAGAATGTGGAATGGTACAATGATGGAGATGCTCTGTTCAGATGAGCTTTTACCGTACAATGAACACCATGCACTGTTTATTGTAGTGTTAACATATTGGCCCGTTCTTCTTCCAGAAACATGGAGCCAATTATGCCACTCAACACAGTGGGAACAAGGTAGTTCTTATTTTCTACCTTTGACCCTTTTTTAGCCGGGCTTATGTTTTCAGAGGAAGGTTCTGTTGAGCTGGTAGGTGATGGCAGGTTGCTAGAAGAATTGGATCCTTTGCCACCCTCTCCATACCATGTGAATGGTACACAGTGTGGGAGAGAGGAGGATCGTTCTGTTAAAGATTTACTGTTGGCTGATTTCTGCAGCATCTCTCTGGTGGTCCTGCGTAAGAGAAAGGAATTTGTGTTAGAGCATAAAATACAAAAAAATGCTACAGAGGTAGTTAATTGTAAAAAAAAATACGACATTCCATGTAACTGTGACTAATCACCACAGTGGCATGCAGCTGGTAACCGCAGTCTTGAGATCTCTCTTGTAACAAAAGGAAAAAGTGTGTTCTTTTGATTTGTTTTCTAACTTTAGTTCTTCAGATAACACGCATGCAGCAAATGGAGACAGATGCCTGCACAAAATGCCTGTGTCCCTGTGTTTTGGTGTGAACCTGCTCCAGTCAAGAAGCCACACACTGCTGGTACCACTGGGGCTTGGTATCTCAGCATGATCAGACTCAGCACTGACCCAGGCAGGCTCTGCTTTCCTGGGTCTGGTTTGGATTTGGAGCACAGGCAGAAGGAACCAGGTGTGTCTACACACACCCACATAGATGTGTCTTTGTTACAACAGCTAAATACTGAGAGACATCCTGTTGTTGTTTTTTTGTTTGTTTAATTAAATATTAAAAATACAACTATAGAAAAAAAATGAAATAAACGTTTGATATTATCAGCTCGCCTTTTCATAGTAACAGTATATAAATCTTCCCTCAGCTTCTAACTTATGGTCAGCTTCTAAATCATTACGGATATAATCACTAGCTCTGTGCATTGGGAAGCTTCCTTTCTGCATGGATGAAATGGAGGCTGCCAGAGAGCCCCCAGACAGCAAGACAGAACCAGAATCCTCTCTCCCTTTGGCTTCTTAAATGAAGATGTGTCTGATACAGTCCTGTGCTCCCTCCTTGTGCTCCAATATTGCTTGAAAGAAGACAGAAAGAAAGACGTTGTCCAAATCACCTATAGCTCCAGGCTAAGGAATGTAAGAATATGTGCTTTCTACTTAAATGGGGGGAATTTGTTTATAGGTTTAACATCAGTGATAGTCTTCAGAAATAATTCAAGATTTTCTTCTACACATCTTCAGTTGTTTCTTGGTGGTGTTTTTTTTTTTTTTAACATGGTAAAATAACACTTGCAACATAGATCTGACAGCGTGATTAATTCTACATCAATCTCTAATGCACTAATAGACAAAAATAATTATAACAGGATGCTGTCTTTTGATCATCATCTTCCTTCTTTCAAAGAGCTTATACAGCTTTGGACTGTAAAGAAAACATCCTCAGATTTTTCTCAGGCAAATTCTTTGGAGTTACTAACAAAGGAAGTGACAACTGGTGTTTAAAAAGTTACACCGAAACAACAACATTTCAGTTTACAGAAGCACAGCAAGGATTACAGATGCTCGTGAATTTTGAGTTTCATAGTCCTCAACTTTGTTTTTAGCAACCGTATCCAAACTCAGAAGTATTCAGTGACAAACAGTGCAAATAGCTGATTTATCAGAGGGTCTCATAAGCAACTGATCATCTTATGCTGGTATGAGGAACGTAAGTTCTATAGAGGCTGCTTCTTATAAAGAAGCATACCTTCCTTCTTCCCAACCTGTCTGGTAGTTAAATGCCACCTGGTGTTAATACCTTGCTAAGGGTACTGGCTGCCTTACAGCTAAGCACAGGTGCACAGAGTTTGGTTAACAAATCCCTCTTCCAGTACAGAAATACAGCAATGAACATTAACTGTAGGACACACTGCAAGCAGAGAATGACTGTTACAGTTTGTTCTGGCACCAGCACAGAGATGCTGACTGCTATAAGATCACCAAAGAGCCTGCCAGATATGTGCAGAATGTGAGTGTATGCTGTGTTAGAACAGGAAACTTGCAGTTCAGTACAGTATGCCTGAAGGGGTATATCAGAAGTCTAACATTTCTTCTGTTTCTGTGATTTTGAAGAGACTTGTCCCTGGGACAAGTGTCAGACTGTCAGCAAAACTCTCCAAGCTGCTACTCAGTTTTTTAAATGCATATATTTTTGGTACAGCATGTGAACTTTGCTTTCTTTAGCAAGCTCTTTTATCGTATGTGCTTTCTATTGTATTATTTTATGTTAGAAAAAGTTAGAGTTGCTAGAACCTTAGGACTTTCAGAATATATTACATTTGCTTAGCACTCCTGATGTTTACCTGAATGCTTGCCCCTCATACCTGGAGCCACATATGGCCCCTCTGGATGGGATTATGTCAGATTCATCACTAACACAAGGAGACCTTCATTAAAAATCCACACCATCCTCTGTAGAAAAGACTGTTTCCTGCCATTTTGAATGCTCATTTATTTATTCAGAGGCCAGATGCTGATGGTCTCATCAAATCTCACAGATAATTCAAAATTCCTTGACTGAGTTGGTGACATGACCAATGCAGTCTGTATTTCTTCTATCTGCTTTCAACTTATGATGTTCATCTTTGGAAACAAAACCTTCTGAAAGCATTCCTGAAGTGAGCACAGTGAAGCTGCAGGGAATATCTGCTGCTCAACCTTGCTCTTGGGACTTTTCCTCCAAAATACGTGGAATTGTGTCAAGGTTTCTGAATCAAGGCTATTAATAACTTAGTGTTTATCTGTGTGTATGCATCTTGTAGGCCAGCTCTAATGAACTATTTCTGCAAATCTGATCAATAGATGTGATAGCAATAGTGATGAAAATCTCCAAGTATTTTTAGATTATCGGTTAGCCATTCGTTAGTTAAGAAATCTAAGTTTGTAAGCTCAACGGGTTGCCTCAGGGCTTAAAATTTATTTCTATGAAAGCAGTGGGACTGGCAGAGTTCAAGTTTTAGGAATATTACATTTTCTCAGCATTTCTGCTCTGCCATTTCTTGCATCCTCAATCTTTTACCATACCTAATGCCACAGGTCACCCTAATAGCTTCTTTCTCTTTCCGCTTCTTGCCCTTGTTTGAACTCCTTCGCAAGGGAGCCCTACAACAACATTGGAAAATATTAGAAAATGTCCTTGAAATTTTATTTTTAATTCTTTATATAAAATTAGTATTTTAAGTAACGAATGCTTACCCAAGATTTGCAAGTTTTCGCTTTAGTTTTTCTGCATGCCCTATAGTAGGAAGAGTAGTTCTTGCTGCCTGGGCACATGTGGCACCATCTAGGATACATTTGTACACGGGAGAATGTACATTATTATTTTTAATTGCTACTGATCCTTATTCCACTTTCCATCCATCCAGAACAGTCTGCGTATCTGCTCAGGATTAGATATATATACACATGTACACATCTGTAAGTACACAGTTTCACTGGGTGCATTCTTCTCATTTTTAAGAAGATGGTGAAGAAAGCAATAAAAAATTAACAGTCTCAGAACTTGAAAATACACATGGGGAAATCTTATTTTAATCAATATAAATGACAAAAGTTAACCTTGGTTGAGCTTCAGTGAATATATAGTAAGAAAAACAACACAGAAGATTTACACACACAGAAGATAAACATTACAGCAAATCCCTTTTTAAACTCAGCAGTGGCTGCTTATTTCTCCCTTTGCAGAAATCACGTGGTATGTATGCTTTCCTTCAAAAATGATTGCTGAAACTCTTTCTTGAACTTTGGAGCAGAAGGTACTTTTATGACAGACAAACTAGACAATAGTTATCTGCTTAGCTTGAATATCTTGGTTAAAATGAATATTTAACTTGAAATCCAACCACTTCCACTAAGAAAATTTGAAAAAAAATTTGAAAGTAGTATCTTAGTTAATACATTTGTCTTTAGTCCTCTACTGATTTCTTATCCTTTCTACATAAACTGTTAACAGCTAAAGAGGGACAGGCTGCAAGAACCTATGGAGTCAAAATAACAGCTCAAAGTATCCAAAACACCCTGTGAAATCTATATGGCAGCTAAAACACACACCAACTGAATAACGCAGACACGGTTTCTGTGATTCTTCAACACAAAGAGTGCCCCCAAATCTTCTAGAGGAAGCAAATGAAGGTCAGTCATTCACATCACTTGCAATTTGGTGACTTTACAACGTGACCTCAGATTTACAGTGGCTTTGGTTAAAAGCACTGCTGTGTTTGTGGATTTCTCCTAAGGAGGCTGACAAAGATTAAACCCTCAGAATTAACCCACAATACCACAGGACAGTAAACCATGCACACAGAGGAACTCTGTACATTGCTCTGTGGATACTGTTTGGCCAAGTTTTCATTCAGGTAGAAAGTTCAGTGTGGAAAGGACTCATGAATCATTGTGGAAAAAGCAAGAAAACAAGGCTCCTGAGATATTAACACTCTAAAGGACATGCATCCTACTTCTACTAACATCAGCCCTACTGACAAGTAACCTCAGGTCAAAAAAGAAAACACACAGAAGATCCCCATGAGGAAAAAAAAAAGCAATAGGCAACCTTAGGCAATGCATACTTTGCATCACCTCTACACTGCGCACGCTTCTCTCTTCTCAAAGATCTGCTTATGGCTCCTCTTTCATCTTTAATGTATGCTTTTCATCTAACCACTGTCAAAAGCACTACTTGGAAGAATTAAAGATTGCAAAGCTTCCTTTCACACTTGGTACTCACAGGCAAGTGGCTGGGGGGCAGAAGGCTTTTTTGAGAAACATCTTAAAGCAAATGAAACTACCAGATACATTAACTTTGTGGTGGGCAAATAATATATTTAGTAGCTGGAGGTTTTGCTGCTGTGGTAGTACTCTGCAGAGCTTGGCAGGAGCACAGAGCAGGTATAAACTCTATCCAAGCTTTTGTATTACTTTGTTCTCACTCACATGCAGCTGGGCCGTGCTGGAGCACTTTGGGTAATGAGGATTTGCTGTGAAAAGCACTCATGCTGGCCATGAGATACTGAGGAAGATGGATGGGCTAGTTTCCAGCAACAACTTCAGTAGAGATTTCAATCTACTGGGCTCGCATAGGTGCAGGCCTGCACTGCTTAGCCCATAGCAGCAGCCATGAACCAGGGCTGCAGGTCCCTGCCTTGGCAGGAGGGACAGTTGACCACCCTGGAGAGGAGCACCTTCTCTGCCTCCTTCAGGTTCTTCTGAGAGGCTGAGGGAATTCTATTTCCTGAGGATCAGTGACACAGAAGCCATTTAACCCATCACTTTCAGCCTGCCAGACTTGGTGTAAGTAATCTGCAGCTGATGGGTGGCAAAGGAGCCCAAATCCAATTTTCTGTCCCATGGTCACAGCACAGCTGAAGCCATCCCTACACCAACTAGAGATGGCCCACAGAGATCACCTCAACTGCCTTGTCAAATGAAGTTGCACAAAGCAAGCAGAACTGAAGAAATTTAATCATGCTCCTATATGAAAAAGTCATGCTCAGAAGACAAAGAAACAAAATTCCTCACCATTTCTCAATGAAATGGAACTCCTGCCATTTCAGCTCTTCCCACAGCAATCATGCGAAAAAAAAACAGTGAACTTGCTAAAGCTCACTTTTGCTGATCAGTGACTAGCCATGGACCCATGACCACAAGTATGTGATCTCCTTCTATCTAAAAAACCAACTAACTAAACACAACATTTTATGTTCTTTTTATATTCTGCAATGTAGGAGTTTGACAGCCCAACGATAATAAAAATAGTATCACTACGACACTTATAGAACAACTCCTTTAGGATGTTTCTTTTTCCTAGAATTTATTAAATGTAAATTCCTCATCTGAAAGCAAATTGCTCTATTTTAGCTTCCGTGTACCCATTAGGATCAGAATACACCCAAAAGCATTGGCTGTTTACGTAACAGTCACAGCGGGAAAGCATGACACCCTTCCTTATTTAGACACAGATTATTTTTCAAACCTAAGTTGGGAAGGAAAGAGCACGGTGGGTGGAATGTAATAACCTATTTCTTAAAATATAAGGTCTAGTCTCCTTCAAATTTTTATCAAGATATTTTTCATACATCGGATGTAAAAGCAGGATTTAAGATTTCATTGATAAAGTAATCACATGCCTACGCTGAAATAAGAGTTGAGCAAGTCATGTTCTTATGTCCACATCCTAATTTTTTAGTTGTAGAATTCTGGCTCCGAACTTAACTTTGATTCATTAAAAACTGTACAATTAGCAACTATGTAATGAGATCAGGAATATTAGAATTCAGCATATATTACACTGCATTATATATATAAACATCTGCATATATTAACCTATGTCAAAATCAACAAAACTTGATCAGTCTGTCTTAAGAATCGCTGTGAAAGCCCTGTATGATGATAAAGAAAAATAGGTTGCAAATGAATGGCAAGTCTTTCCATTTACAAAGGTAGAGAACAATCTTTAACAAGTTGTGCTTTATTTCAGTTATTTCCATTTAGCCAAAGTTTGTTCTGAACCTATCCAAACCTATTTCTGCAGCCTTAGAAGCGATTTTATCATCTAGATTAGCTTAAGTTACAGTTAGAGAACACACCATGCATGGACAAGAATGCTTAAAATGCTTTAAATTGCTAATTTTGACTTCATAAGACATTTGAAATGGAGGGCTCAAAATTCTGTGCAGTAGTGCACGTAGGTTGCTCTGAAAGTAATGCCTCCTACTTATTTACATGCAAACTACAACAGACACAAAGAGCATAGTAACATTATTTGATAGAGCTAGTTGTCAGCTACAAACCATTACTCTTCAATACTGTCAACACCATTAGCTGTGCATTTTCACCAGGGATGAACAAAAGCCAGCCTGCTGCACTTGTAACAATCTGTACCAGTGGAGGAGACCCACTGTCACTGTCATCACTGCTGAAATGCATCACCCACCACCTGAGTTTGCTCACATCCACTGCTAGGTCTCCATAAATGCTCTGCAAACATCAATGAATGTCAGTGGGTGCCATTTCTTCCACACGGAGGAATTCAATTCCACACTTTTACTTTACATGCACTTCCACGTCAGAAACCATTTTGTCAGACTGCCCCTCTGCTCCATCTGTTGCATGGCAACAAACTGTAACAGAATATTGCTGGGATGGTTCAATCTCTACTGCCATACTAACATCTGCCTCTGATGTCATGGGGCAGCATCATAAAATAGGAGGCAGTACTTTTGAAGCAAGCCTCACATTATGAATGCATTGAATAAACAAGAATTTGAAAAATGTACCTGAACTAGGTATGATTGTATCATGTCTTATCATGTTTACATTTAAATAATCTCTACTAAATAAATAATGATGTGGCCAACCTTTCTAACTAACCACTATTTTTTTCTCCTATAAATACAAACTCCTCAGCCACCGACCTCCTGTTTAACCAAGAGTCTGATGGCTCTCAGCAATTAAAAACTACAATCTGTTATTTTTGCTTTATGCTCCTTTCCAAACTTCCAAAAAAAGCACTTAGCAGTGCCAAAAATCACATAATTCATAAGTACAATGCATTTATTAATCATGTTTGTAACACAAAAATGGACTGAGGCCCAATAATATTGTTTTGAAAAAAATAGAGAATATTTTCTTAAAGGAATCTTCCCCCTATTTTTTTCAGTGAGCTCTAAGAAAGAAATAAAAAGAAAGAAAGCAGCTCCTGATCTAATTCTGACTTCGTCCTTTTCTTATACCATCATACAAGGTCAGCTGTAATTTTCTGATGTCCAGGTAGACAAAAGAAGTTATGAGAAGATGACCTAGTTGCTATGGTTTAACTACACAACAGTTCATAATGTAGATGTAAGTAAGCAAATGGATGCACCAATTTATTGTAAAAAGTAGTAGTACCTTGATCTTGCAAAACATTCCTGCCAGCTGGGTGATGCAAAGGAGATGCTTCAGAGCTGTGCCCAGATTTTGAAGGAGAAGAAAGTGGAGTGTCTCCCCGAGCACACAGGGAAAGGACACCTCCTCTGTGGTGCTGTCCTTCTTCTTGATTTTCAGTTAGGTTGTCAAGGGAGATTGCTGCACTGCTAGCCACTGGGGAGAGGGAGGAAGCACCAGAATCTGATGCTGGTGAGGATGCTCTCATGCATAAGGGCAGTGGTGATTTTGAAATGTGCATGGGACTACTGTAACTGTTTGATGGCTGTTGGCATAAGAGATTATAAAGCAGGTTATACCATTTAGTAACTGATATAAGCAAGGTTTACTATGAACATGCAATTCTTTTATTCATTATTCACTCTTTTATTTGTAAGAAACACATTAGTGATTCATGTAATTACCTTTCGATGTCACACTGTGTTTATTGATATTTGCTTTCAAGCAGAAGTCAGAATCAGATAAAACAATGAGTAAATATCATATCAATAGTGATAACAAGAAATAAAGGAAAGTAGCATTCAAGTTCTTTTCACCTCCTGCATGTATTAAGGACCCACTGTACATCACAGAGCACACTTATTTCAGAAAACCCAGGATTCCTGTTAAAAGAAAATGTAAAAAAAAACTAAAACCAACAAAAAACCCAGGTGTGCTGAATCAAAGGAGACTTAAACTTCTCTCAAGTGCAGTCACAGCATACTGGCCACAGAGGAATACATACTGCCTGTGCTACAATGCAAGGACAAAGACAGAGGATAAAAAGAGGGGCAACCTAGCGTTCCACAGGAAGCCTGAGAGAGGGCAGAGTCCTTCTCACCTTTCGTTCAAGGCTGTCCTCTCCATCAGTTGAGCTGATGCTGTCATAGAGCCTTGTCCTGGTTGGCCTCTGCCGCTTGTTCTTCACTGAAAGTTGAGCTCGGGTTTTCAGAGCTTTTGAGTCCAGCCTCTCTGTTTCTGGCACTGCCTCATTGAAATCTGTATGAAAACATGATTTAAAGTTATTTGTAATATATATATATTTTGGAATTAAATGCCTTATCCGAAGATATGGCCTGCAACTGAGAGCACACGAACTTTGCATGGTTTACTCACACCTGTATTCAGAATTAATAAAGAGCACGTGCAAAAAAGTGATTATGTGTCTAAACCATTAACAGATCCATATCCAGTAACTGCATTGAGGAGAATCAACTGCAGAGATTTTTAAATTCAGCAAACGATTGCCATTGTGACATGGGACCACGCCAGAATAAAACTGTTAAACGCTGTCCTATCCCAGAAAACAAGTCCACAGACTCCCTCAGACCTACTAACGTGTGTTTGGTCTACAGAGCACTTCTCCGTCACACTATTAAGCAAAGGAATCCTCATCTCCTTACTTTTCAGCAGACATTTTCCAGCATCTGGATGAATATCTCAATTTAGACACAGTGGGCCAATTCATTTATTTCCAATCCTGCCCTTTTCGGTCACCTGAAGAGGACATACTGTATGGCTGCTTTCTTCAACATCTGCCCCACTGTTTCCCTTATAACTTCATCAGTTCTGCAAGCTGCTCATCAAATTACAGAAGAAATATACAGAGCTATCCTCAGGCTGCTCTACATTTTATTATAACTGGAATGGCTTACAAATTTAAAGAACCTACTTTGCTCTCTCTCCTGTACCAGGTATCCCCCAAAATAACCTTGGTATAGTATGTGCAAGTTATAAACAAGCAATGTCTGTAGTCAGTAGCAAAGAAAGAGTGATAAAGCCAGTATCTAGATAATCAGATAATGATTTTCAATTGGATTGATTTACAGGCAGCCTCTCACAGGATTATGAAACAAGTGCTAAACTCATTCCTTAGGACCTACAGTGAAACTGCTTGCTGGCTATGCCATGTGCTCCATCTTAGGAGGGGACAGCAGAGAGGAATCTCACCCTATTCTGGACATTGAGGTCATCTGTTGTTTAAAATTGATAATACAAATCAGGTGCCCCAATTGTTTGCTCCAATTCCTCTGCAAGCAAGACCACTTTTTTATTAGTACCTGGCAATCTCATTTGTTATTTCCTCCTAACTGCACTGCCCACAGTAGTGGGCTGCAGTACTTGTAGATTCCTCTTTACTGTATTCAGAATTCCTTCAAACCCCTAAAATGCAAGAAAATTTAGCTAAACTTAAGTAAAACACCACTGACAGAGTGATACATCACAATCTCTAATACAAACCAATTACTAAGACTGATCTAGCTCAAGTGGAGTTGTATCTCACTTGCACTCATATCACATAAGGCTCTCTGCCAAGCTCTATTCCTTAGCAGGAGACTAGAGGCTGCAATCATTACTGTGATTACCAGAATCTACTGCAGCTGACTGGTTTCAGCAATTGAACAGCAAGCAATGTGTTTTGGCAAAACCATTAGTGAGCTTGTTTTACAGCTTCAGTGGGCTGAAATAAATTTTCACTGCAACCAACTGCCAGTGGTGTTCAACAGAGTTTGTAACGACATTCAAAATGAAATGAAATTATTCCACCTAGAAGCTCCATGAAAACATTCTGAACTGTAGCTATTCAGAACAGGAATGGAAAGGCCAACTGTTGTATGTGTACAAGACAGAAGGGACACTGTTCTACTTGACTAACTTGAAAAACAACTATATACTGTGTGGAGCAGGACACGGGCTGTTAGATCTGTTAATACACTGATCTAATAGCTCAGAAACTGGGAGATCTGCAACAAGCAATAATTATCCCAACAAAAAACAAGACAGTCATCAGAAGACTTGTGTGAAGGCTGAGAGATGTACTCTACAATAACACTGCTTAACCCTTACAAAGTTCCTGTGCTTTCTGAATGAATGGAGTTTGTGTAGGAGATGCTGTACTCTACCATGTATGCTTTAAAAGATCAAAATGATAAAAAAACTGTAATTCATATATAATCAGGAAAAAGCTGGACACTGTCGCTCTCACACCTATTTGCTGTTGTCTTCATTCATGTAGCTTTCTGCTAGAATAAACAGCCAAATCTGTTCCTTGTTTCTTCTGTTCTGAAGGCAATTTTACATCTTTACACTTTGATCTACTGCTCCAACATCGTTACGAGATGCATGAAAATTACAGAAGTATTTCATATAAAACAATGGAACTATGAAACAAATTTATCTCCTAGTTTCACAGTCATCCCGTACAACAATGCCTTGTGAGCAGACTAAACACTTAATCAGTGACTTGCCTCTACACATCAAGCTGACATAACAGCTGCTTTCTTAGCAATCAATCATCCACTGAAATGATACTTGAATATTTCAGCAAATTCAACAGTTCATAAAGCTGAAGTAAGCTAAAACATATTTATGAAAGGTGTTCTCACATTTTAAGCCAGACAAGGAATTTTTTTATGGTTTCAACTTTCTTTTTTTGTTTGGCAATCCTCAAAGTAGAAATCAATTCATCCGTCAGGCTAACTTACTTATCTAAGTACTCTATTCCTAACACACTAATTAATTGGAAGATAATCTTACGGACATTTTTGCTTAAAACAAAGAAACAGAGACATCTTAGCCTCACTGAATCACCAACTTTAGGAAAGCAGAAATCTTCCCCTTGCTTTCCACAGTATCCTGACCCTCACTCTCAGAAGACCTGATTCAATCAGGGGTGCAAACATCTCAGTGACTTTCTACCACCACCAGAACAAAGAGCTCTTGCTGTGCAGCCCATTTCTTCCATTATTTGCATGTTATCACAATTTGAACTGCTTATATTTCTTCCTTCAGGTGCACACTTCCATGCAACCCTTCCTTTTGTTGCTCAGCTAAGGCAAATCATTGACATATTACTGTGAATGTTGATTCATGTAAGTGGTCACACTGGCCTTATTCAAGCAAAATGCCACCTGGGCCCAGAGGCTGCTCTCTCTGCTTCCCAGAGCTGGGCTACTACCTCTCAGTGCCACCTCTTGACCTAGCCTTGCTCCAACATGTTGCAAAGAAACTGCTCAATAGCATCAGAAAGTGCAGTAACGTAGGAGTCTTCCAATCTACTGTCGAGCCGGACAAATATCTTACAGTAAAGTTGTAACAGGTTCAACATTGCTCATGGAGACACTCTAATTAGACTTTCTTTCGGCAGGCCTTAAACCATTTGACTCCAAGGGCCTTCCCTTTACGTTATTTCAATACCACTGCACAGTGGGAAACAGCTTGCCTGTCCACCCACTGAGTTTCCATTATACACGCTGATGGATTTAAAAATCTTTTTCTGTGAACTGATGCACCCCTGGGCATCCTAACACACTCAGCACAGCCAGCAGAGTGCCTCAAAGGGGCATTTGCATAGAGATAAGCAAGTACTGGCCAAGTTGGCGTCAACGGTGAACTGTCAACTGATTTCAAACCACAGGGTCCTTCCAGGACATCCACAGACAGTTTGTTTCTCTACTGCAGACATAGCTCATGACCACTACAACTGAACGTTACACTTCACTTCATCTGTTTTTCTGCACTCCCAGACCTAATCAAATATTTGTAAAAGAAATACAACCCTCAGTCTTCTGGCGTTCCAAGGCAAAATAAAGGAAAGATTCTGGGCTGTAATGGTTTAGATTTTCTCCTTGTAGCTTCCACTGGTGATCCTGGAAGCCTGCCACCATGAGGTTATGTTGCAGCCAGAGGAGCCGTGCTGTCTGACGGGATGTTGCAGTGCCCAGGCCGCTTGCAGGCAGGGGCTGCCATGCTCCTGTTCTCATGACAGGCCAGTCACACCCATCAGTTGGTCCAAACATAAATACCACACGTAAATATAATCAAGATCTCAGTTCACGCTGAAGCAAAAACTCATCTTAGTGTCATTTTAATTATCAGGATATCTGAAATAAGAGTTTTTATATAAACTGATTGTTAGGGAAGACATACCTGCAAAGTTCAAAGTAAAAATTATAGTGTGTGGCTGTGTATGCCCAGATCCACTGTAAAAACTTAATGCTGATGCTGAAGAAGAACAGAAATGAGAAGAAGTACCAAACACTGGTCAACATTTCCCCAGGGAATGCTTTTCCAGAGAAAAATGGCAGCTCTTAGAAAATTATCATGCAAATACATCAATTGAAAAATCTGGTTTGGAAGTACTGACAGTTTTAGTGCTTTTAAAAGATGTTTCAAGATTTTTTTTTAAAAGTAGAAATTTCAAGTTCTATATATATATAAAAAAAAGGTAATATCAGAATTTTGCTTTGCAGTCTTGTTTCAACAGAGCGTTTCACTGAATAATAGAAAGTACGTATTTCAGATGGTGCTCATGAATGGATTTCAGCTCCTGAGCCATGGACGTGTGCTGACACTGCTAAAATACGTAAACCTGATTTCTCCAAGGCAGGTAGGTAAAGCACAGTTTACTTATGCAATCTACTGTAACATTTACTGAGTTTCAGTGCAGAATTATGGACTTCCCTGTCAACCGGTGCGCTGTCCTGAGATCTCAGGGTAATAAACACTTACTAAAAAGAAGCAGGTATGTAAAGATTTGTGGAAACCAATTCCACAAGTTCTATCTATCACACATATACTGTTTCAGAAGGACAAACCCTTTTTATGCACATATATTATGTTAATATATGATTTATATTGATTTGTTTGCAGAGCAATATTCAATTTGTACCCACACATGCAATAACTGCTAGAATAGTAACCCTAATAAAACATCTCTGTGATTGCTAGAAATCAGTTTAATTGGAAATGCAATGCATTTTTCTTCACCAGTGGAATAAATAATATTATAGTTTATTTAAAAAGAATATATTGCTAGGAATGGACCTTGGTGCTGATTTCACAGACTGTCACTAAATATGCAGCAAGTATTGTTCCTGCAGCGAACAATTTTCATCCCAAGGCTGTGAATCTAAACTTGGATTCAATTTTGCATATACTTCAAGGGTGAGGAACCACTCACTGAAGAAGTTACTGAAAACACTAACCAAAGGAATGGATATTATCTGTATATTTTCACTAACATAGTCTTTAAAAAAAAAAAGGCAGTTACCTTTCCATGCAAAACAAGTAAAGCTTACAGTTACCCTGTTGACAGCATCTTAGTGTTATCATGAATTGTTTTTTGGTGCTTTGGTAATGTAGAACCAAGTTTTACAGGTCCTTATGTTTTAAATCAGTATGAGCTATAGAAGACTATTATTTTAATGAATGCGCTAGTAAAGAATTTGCATTCTGCTCATAAAGTGCTCCCTACTGAGAAATCATGAGCTCCACCTACGTGATTGCTTTTGATGTCAGTACCAAGGTAGGATCAGAAACATGCAGAGCTCCATTCAAAATGCTAGATTCAAGACTGTTTTTTCTCATTCTGATAATTTTGTTCTTGTTCAATCTTTGGTTTTTGGATAATTAAGAACAAAGTTAAGAACACAAGAAAGCACAATTTTCTTCTACCTTATTAAGATAACAGAAGCGTGGAATTAATCCTGAGCGTTGGTGGACTGTCATTGAAAATTCATTTAAGCTTCAAGAAATCAGGAACCATCTTTGCTTTGTTAGCACAGACTAGTCACTTCTATTTCTTAAAGAACTTACAATGTATAGTTTTCCTGGGCCTTTACATTTATAATTATTATTTGTGAACTTTGGAAAAATAACAACATCCCTGTTGTTACTGTTTCCTTTAGATCCTAAATGATAACGATATTTTTTATCCACACATTAACAGGAGTTACAGGTTCACACAAACCTTGACTTAAGCCATCCAGACAGGACACTTGCTTAGTATCTAGATTTTCCACTGGATCTCCTCTAGAAACTTCTCCAAAAGATGTCTGCCTTTCAAATATATTGTTGTTATTGTTAACCTGGCTCCCATTTTGCTTCAGTAGCCTGAAAACTTCTGCTTCCAAGTCTCGTATCTGAAATAAATAAAGCCCATTTTTACCTTTAGCACACATACACATCTATGTTGTTGTTTTTTTCCCCCAGATTATCAGACAGAATTATCTCATTCACCAAAGACAAGAGTACATATTACTCACACGAGACTGTAAGCCTTGAACCTCTGCAAGATGTGCTTTCTCCAAATCTTCTATTTTCTTTCGTTCAGCTTCCTGGCGTTTGAGGAAGTCAAGTTCTCTTAGGGAAAAAAAAAAAGTGCATTTACTGTCATCAAAACAATCAGATTTGAACAGAAAACATGGTATACTGTGTGTTTGGCTATGCATCTGGAAATTCTGTCTGTAACAAATGTTTAGTTCCTAACCTACAAACGACTATGAAACTACATAATTACTTATCAGTCTATATGAACATGCTAGTTGAAAACACAAAAATGAAAAAAAATAAAAATCTGAGTTCTGCTGCAGGAAATCGGATAGACTGTGTTTTATGAGAATATGACTGATATTTTTTTTTTAAAGGAAATCCACGAGTTTCCAGGTACAAATTTAATTTTCTACTAAGTTTAAAGGAAATCTATTAGGTGTTTTTTAGGAGTCTGAGATATTTTTAAAACAACAGACTAAATCTTTTACTACTACAAAGTAGAATAGCAACAGAAAAGCCATGCAAACTCATTCTAGCTATTTTCCCTATTTTTTTTTCACTTTGAAAATCTATCATATTTGTGATAGAAAGTGAATGAGATGCCAATTAGCTATGGAGCAGTCATGAAATTCCAAGCTAGGTAACAACATACTGACTCTCTAAAATGCTTTTTAATGGGAAACAACGTTCCCTTTGGCGCTCCCAGCTCTTGCTTAACACTGGTGCACATTTTTGGGTATTCTTTTTTAACTGACTACATTTTAGCATTAATTTAAAAAATGCTGCAGAAGAAGAAAGTTTTGAGAAAGGTAGCTATGTAGAGTGCTATTCTTGCTAGCTATCAGGAGGAGGGAACATATGAAACAAAGAGGGCCAGTAATCATCACTCAGCTCAACAGCTCAAACACTCCTGGCATCTACAAGAAGAAGAAAAATAGAATATGAAAGAAAACAAAACAATTTTCTTTTGGATGTTACATTAGTATACAGCAGGAGGGAATTCAACTGACATGTCACTATAAATTGCCGCAAACATTTCAAATCAGATGTTTTACTAGGATTACTTGTGGCTGTGTGCAACCTCATTTAGTTATCTTGTAATCCTGCAACATTTCAATGCAGAATAAGGCAGATTAAATCTTTGTTTAGTTATAATAAGTAGTTTAGCATTGCTAAACTAATACTCAAATAATACTGCCATTTTTTCTGCAACAAAGAACTTGTGGTTTTCACGATAAAAAAAATGATAAATACTGTTTACCTTACAGTTGTTTAATAGAGGTTTTCATATTTCAAAATTTATCTTACACGCTTCCTATCTGGCACTTATTCATTTCCTGAACCTGGTGTAGCTACTTACTTTTGCTGAAAATCCTTGATTAACTTCTTTGCCTTGTTATATTTCTTCTCCAGAGCTTGATACTGGCTTTGTGTCTCCTTGAGGTGCTCGTTCACTGTATGACACAGGGTTTGGGCCTCAATCCAGTAACTCTCTAATTTCATCATCCTCTCCTTATTCTCCTCAATGTTCTGCTGCAGTTGGGTCTTCTCCAGTTCCCACCTCACCTTCTCATTCTCAGCAGCCTGTAGCTGAACAGAACAGTGGAGAACCCAGTTAGTAGAGGGGTGCAAAGTGCAGCTTAATAGCTTAGTTTGAGTTCAGTCAATGTGAATAGCAAAAATCATGAAGAAACTACAGAAGTAATGAGCCAGCAGAGAAAAGAGCATTCCAGGACAAATACATCTGCTGATACATACATTATTTTTCCGCATAAAATGAAGCAGAACCTTTGTTTTTTGTTACAATGCAGTCCCACTGCTCTCCGAATGTGAACACATTTAAAAATGTCAATAGCGGAGTGTTTCTGTAAACTGCAGCATTAATCAACCAGCACTGGTTGCTCTATATACCTGGCTGAGGTGTTAGAAAGCTTTCACACACTTCCATAAAATGAGAAATTTCTTCTTTGAGAGGAATCTGCTTTCCAGATTCTATATTTGATTTAAGAACAATGAGAATACAAACAGGAAAAATGCCAATTATGCCCAATTTAACTGTTTTTCCTTCAAATTAGTAACTATTGAATTCTTATCATTTTTCTTGCTTTTTTAATGTCCTAATCTTGCTTAATCTAGTAAACCCAGAAAGAAAAGAAGCTGGGAGTAGAATAGAAAATTTAACATCAGGTCATAACCTAGGACTATTTCTCATTTAAGCAGGAATAGAGTTTTACACATGACACCGTAACTATGCCAGAATTATTACAAGGACAAAGAAAACCTGTTATATTATTCTTGTTTTCTTTAAAATTGCTTACCGAGTTGTGAGTTGTAAGGAGCTAATACTAAAAGCAAAAATATGTCCTTGCTGTTGTAGATTTTTGCCCTTAAAGGTGCTAATTCTGCCAAATATCAGTGCTGCTTAGCTTTCTGATCACTGCTGTTTCTATGCCCAGTTTGGCATCAGTAAAGCCCAGTTTTTCCAAGTGACCTCAGAGAAGCCTGAATTTCACTGCTTAATTTATAATAACACTTAGCACCCATGTTATTATTTTTTGTTGTTGTTAGATTTTGTTATTTTTAGATTTCTTACTTTCCAAAAGCTAGCTGCAAGTTTCAATGTTTGGCACGGAATGAGGGTAGCGTTCAAGGTAGGATATTTTAGCTGCTAGAATTTATGGAAGGAAAGCACATCTTACATTGTTTGCTTATCAATATTATTTTATTTGCTGTAGGCAGTATGCTGGCACCATGGATGATGCATGCAAAGCAAGAATAGGCTGTTTGCAGTTTTAGTAGTAATATAACTGAAGTAGCCATAATTTCTTCGGTGCTATTCAAAAGACCACGTAATGAAGTACAGCACAAGAAGATACATTAACCCTAATCTTGTAGATGGATGTGCACAGATGAATGTTTACACCGATGCTATGAAGTCAGCGGGTCTTGGCACAATCCCCAGGGATTGACCATGCAGCTCCGATTGCTGCACTGGAATTGGAAAGCAGAAAAGATTTCTGACTTTTTGAACTAAAATAGTATAACAGAAATTGTCATTACAGAAAATAACTGCATTCAGAACTGGATTCTAACAGCACTTTATGCAAATTTGATAAACACAACACAAAATACATGGTAAGTGCAAATAGTTGCTAGAAAGAAATAATCTTCAAAAATATTTGTCTGAAGTGCAATTTTTACTTTGTCTTCCTTTGATTTTTTTTTATAATGTACTCAAACTCAAAATGAAGGATGTCATTATAAAACCTGTTAATACACAACAACAGAATTATCAGTTGATTTCCCATAAAGCTTATCCTAGTACAAAAAATACAATTTCTTTTTATTGCTATTGCAAATTCAATCTAATAACTAGCAACCAATTGCAAGATGTTTTCCATTAAGCTGGTAAACATTTTCCTTTCTAGAGCATCTTTTAAAGAGAAATGCAACAGTAAGAAAGTGTTCTTTTTCTTCTCTATATAAAAAGTATTTTCTATTAAACATGTTTAAATAAATTAATTTTTTCTAAACGTAAGAAAATAAATTAACATAAACAGGACATCTTCTTATCACTAATAAATAATAAACCTAATAAGTAAGATTTGAATATTCAATCCAAATGCAATTTAAAAACCTGAGAAAATGTACTGGAATTGTAAAACTGGGAATCTGCCATTTAGTCATTATGATAGCTCTTAAAATGTATGTTTAATTGAAGCTGCACAAGTTGGCAGTTTCTCTTAATAGCAGCACTTAGATTTTACTTGAAACTTTGAATAGAGAACATACACTAAGACAAGATTTAGCTGAGCCACCGTGTTTCTTGATCAGCCTTTAATAAGGACGTTGATTTCTCCACCCACATAAAGATACATGTCTTCAGATCTGATTTTGCATGAAAGCAAAAAAAAAAAAAAATCAGCATGTATTATCTGCATATTGATTCTTACCTTCGTCTTCAGCTTCTGAATTTCAGCTTCTGTAACTGCATGTTTGATTTGCAACTAAAATTGAAAATATAAAATAAACAAGTGAAGTCACAGAGTACTCCAATATTTTTAAAGCCTGTGCTGCAAGTTGAATACCTTATTACACAGCAGAAGGCCTTGAAGAGTGCTGCAGTGCAGTAGATTGTAAATTAAAACGTCTAGCTTGCAAAATGACTCAGCCTGTGCAATCTAATTAAAGATAGGATGCCATCTAACCACTCATAATTTCAAATCAGAACATCCAATCTGTTTAGCAAAACCAAATGTCTTCTGCTTTAAAAAAAAAAAGATGCTATCCTTGCTGGGCTTTGCTTTGCTCTCCTCTGATGTGAATGTGAAATATGTCCCAGTGCTGTCAGAGAGTCCCACAACACTGATTAAAGCAGGCATGTTACAAAAGAGCAAATACAGAAACAAGTGATTTAACAACTCAGGGAGCCAGGAATCTTCCCTTTAGGGGAAGATTTCTACATGTTTACTACATGAAAAAAAAAAAAGGTAAACTGATGCTATCCTTCTCCATCATTAACCTGAATTATTCTGCTCAAGCTAGCTAATCTCAAGTGAGAGCAGTAACACTGGGAAACCATAAAAAACAGGAAGCAGCATATGAGCACAGAAAATGATTGCAAGGAGATTAACAGCCTAGGCATTGTGTTAAAGGTTGTATTTACATCATCAGGCACTGTGCCACAATAACAGCAGACCAGAGCAGGGAAAGGGTAGGTTCTGAGGACCTGGCTCCCATTTGCATGCTTTCAGGGACTTGTTTTGGACTAGCCCACATCAGTCTGATCTGGCGGAGTGAATCCTCATTCGCACTTTTGAATCCTTTGAGTTTGGTTTCACCCCAAAGAATTACTATTCATCTGCTCCAAGAACAGTCTGAAGTACGAATTAAACAGCTGCAAAACCCCAATCCAAATGGAAACGATGATGTACATGCACCTGATACTAGGCTGCACTCGCATCCCTGCTGCTTTACTGCTTAAGGCAGTCAGCTTGGTCAAATTCTGACAGACCCCAAACCTTACATGTAAAGCACTGAACCAGTGACTGGTGTGTGCTGGGCAAGCTGAATTACAGCTTGAGCAAACTCTGCAGGGAAGACAGCCTTAGTTCATTATTTATGAATACGAGGAATAGTTATGGAAAACTATGTTCTACATAGTGGTTACACGACTGAAGGATGCCTTTGGGAATGGTTTATGTTGAGCTAATAGAGTGCATAAGGGACTTGTGCTGAATCAGAAATTATCACCTCAGGTGAAGCTATGGTTACATTCTTGAAGGGCAGACTGCTAGTAAAAAAAAATGTACAGACAATTCAAAAGGCAAGTTATTTTGGAGAAGAGGAATAATTTTCAAGATAGCAGAAGTTATCTCAGAGCCAATCGGTGCAAGCATTCTTGAGAAAAGCTTAGCTGCCTTGGAAATCCCACTTTCATGGGACTTCTTGAACCCATTTCTTGTGGCAGCACAGGAAATGCAGTCAGACACAGTTTGGGTTGCAAACTGGCCCTAACTTGTCTAGTGCCTTGTCTCTGGAGAAGCATAACCAAACACACGGCAGGAGAAATAAAGGATGCGCTGATGCAATCGGTTCCACCTGAGGAACAGTTTAGGAATCTTCGTGTTTCCACCAGTCTTGGTTACTGTCTCCAGGGGAGACTCTAAGCACTTCCAGTCCCCAGTTTCCCCAAATTGTTATGTGAATTCACCTTTTGACTTTGCACCAGAACGGATTATGGACGTTCTAGTCCTCAGCAAGTGCCAGTACAAGACCTCATTCCCAACTAAAGCGCTGACCGACGGCAGCAGCTTGCACAAACTCGAACATGTGGAGGCCCACCAGGCATGCTGGTGGAGCATACATGGCTCCAGACTCCAAGGGCTCCAGGCAGGCAGCTAACCCAGAGATCTCACAGGGTCCCTGACCAAGTGCTACTGAAGGGGCAGGACAGACAGGTGCCTACATAGCTGAAGCAGGAACACACAAGTCCTGCAGCTGGCATTGGTGGCAAGAAGTGGCTAGTGCTGGTGGTGTACCTGATGGGCTATATACCCTATGTAATTTTTTGGAATTTAATCATAAATAGTTCAGGACACTTTACAAGAGATACTTTAGTTAGATATTTGGTAGAGGTTGCTTGCAATTTTTGAGCTCAGTAAAGCCAACCTCTGATCTGCAGCTTTCAGAGAGATCAATAGCTAGTCTTTAAATAGTTTCTCTTAGTAGTGAAAGACAAAGAGGAAAAATTAAGAAAGAATAATCTCAAAACCTCATCATGTTTAATAAATGCCCAACCTTTGCTTAGGTGATCACTTAGGTCATTGAATCTCGCAACCAAACCCTCACTGTTTTGGGGTGAGGTAAACTCAAGGATGGATGAGTTAGACTTTGCCTTCTGTAGAGATAATAATGAAATCAAAAGGCCAAGGCTCAGAACCTCAGGCTACCTGCTTGCGATCCATTGCCATTTCTTCTAAAAATCCCACAAACCAGTAAGCAGCATTTTATCAGCTTATCATAACATACACAGAAACCCCAAATTGTTGCATAAATGACAATCTGCTCAGGTACAGATGGTTTCAACGGTTATTTTTACACTCTGTTATTAATTTCTTTTTAAAAAGACTACTGAGCACGCAGTCAGATCACTAGCTCAGTGCATGGTACAGCAGACCCCACTGAGGCAGAAGAAAAAAGACACTTTCCTGTCAGACAGACAAATGTGTAAGCTGGACAACTACCTTTTTTCTTTTTTTTTTAATTTAACAGAACTAATTATGCTTGCAGAATAGATGAGAAATAGTAACACATGCAGGGGTTAGACTGAACAATGGGCAAAGCAAATGATTTGACAAGCAAATCTGGACTCTGCAGATTTTCTAATAGGAAAGAAGAAATATATTAGTCCACGTCCTATATAATGCCAGACAAATTCTTGGCAGATACTACTTCATATTTCTGTTTTCTAAGTCAACATAAAGCTGTGAAGGCTTCATTTTAACAAGAGGTATTTTGAATAATTTTTGGCAAGTTTCATTTTCAAGGATATTTTGAAACACTGATTTTCTTCAAAACAACACAATTAAAATATTTATATGTATTATGAGGAAATAGCTTGGATTCATCTAAGACTGCAAAAGGTGGAATGTCATGAAAAGCTAGTATATGTTAAATTGCTGGAGTACAGTGAGAAAGAAACAATCAAATCTAATAAGATTAATGATTTTTTTTTATATCATTATATGTTTTTACATACAATATCATTTGTTTTTCATAGATTTCATTATGATGTGAAATACAGTTCCTAATTCTTACACAAGGTGTTCCTTTTCTTTATAGATCCTGTCTCTCTTCAGTCATCACAGCTAAAAAATAAAGCTTCTAGTTCTTTCTCTCAAAGAAGTCAAGGAAAATTGGTTTCATTTTTTTCTGTTTTACAGCCAGGAAAACAAAATATGCTGAAGTACAGTGATTCACCCAGGAATGCCCACCTCTATTCTGACTTCCATTCCAAGTGCAAAGCATTTCAAGTAAGAATGCTCTCAAGGTATTTGAGCACATTTTTCTTTGCAAAGAATAAATTCAACTAATTAGGTCAAACTATTATGTTTAAAGATTAGGTCCAACCTACTTGTTTAATACTTTCATTAATCTCCACAGTAGGAACAAGAAAGAACAGTTATTCTTTAAATACAATTCCAGAAAACACTGTGTGGGCTTGTGCAGCGTGATAGTGAACAAGTCCTCTAGTGTTGAAGGAATTCAGGGCAAATACCAAGAAAAATGCATGCACTCACCCTGCCAGAGCCTCTACAAAATGCAGCTGTGTACTGTTAAATGCAATCAGTGGAACAAAAGTAGCATGCTCCTAACAGCAATAACTACGTGGGTTAGTGAAAAAGAGCCCACTCTTCCATAGGAGCATTTCATGTTTTCTTCTTGGGTTCTTATCTGCTCTTAACCTGGAGGATTCCAGAGACCCTTAGTCTGATCTTTCCTACATCAACATTTTAAGGCCATTCAATCTTACAGATCTACAGTTAGCCAAAAATCAGTTTGGATATGCTGAAATACATATATAGCCCAAGCTGATTAAAATTACATTCAGGCACAGTGGTACAGGTAATTTATTCAAAGGTCCGTGGCTTGTTTATCACTACATCTGTGCTTTACCTAGCCTTGTTGCAGTGGCACAGTCAGAATGGCAGCACCCTCCCAACACACTGAGAAAGTATATAAACATTATGCATGATCCATGGTATTAGAAAACGAACTCAATGTTCTAATTAATGTAACAGTCAGGACCTTGAAATATGGAGTAAGAAGTTAATCAGTTAAGTAAACCAAAAAACTTTCAGGAAACAATAATGTATTTATTACTGTAGGCATCCAGAGGCTGAAGACTGTACCACCAAAAAAATGAAAGACTGTTTCCTCAGAAACTGATAACTTTTTATATATTGCTTGGTCTGGAGAATGGTAAGAATATACATTATACCCCCCTGGAAAATAAAACACCTGGTTTGATGGAACAAAGGGAAAAACAGAAGACAGGTGAAGAAAAATAGACACTGAGTCCCTCTTTTAAAACTTGTCTGGGCCAAGAGGCTCAAATCTCCGATGTTTTGGCTACTTTCAGCCCTTTGGTCTTCATTGCATTTAGAAACAAACATGTTCTTTAGTGTCCAAGCCCATTGCTCTGGAGATAGAAAAATCCACCTGTTTCATGACTTGTACGAGAATTCAGGAAAGTTCAGGAATAAATCACATCAAAAGCGTAACTGAAAAGACAGGACTGTTTCTCTGTTTTTTCGTATGTTATACAACCTCAATAACTGCAATAAACATCTGATCTAAGTTTTGTTAGTACCAGTGGATGCTAAATAAACTCTATAGCTCTTCTGTTTTACCAAATAGAAGTTCTGTAAAACACCAGCTCAAAACAGGCTTGCTTCCCCAGTACAGTGTTTATTTTAAACACACAGCAAAACATACCACTGCAAGTATATTGATCAATGCTGTGTAATGCTACAGAAACTGGAAACAATCCAATTTTCACTAAAATTCAGCACTTGTTTTGCTTTTCATGATCACTTTTGACTGGGTTAAAAAAACAAACAAAAAAAAACAAAGCTACCTGCTAATAATTAATTAACTATTAATGCAAACTAAGTGCTGAGGCAGAATAACTTTTTTGCTAAAAAATCAAGTGATGAATTATCTTTCATCAGTGTAATAGTCACTTGAAAGTTGATGTCAAAGTAACTCTGACCAGTTCCACTGCTTTTAAGCAGAATGTTTTCAGCTGTTTGAAAGTATCCATGCTACAAACACTTAGCAATCAGTTCTAGTATTCAAGAGAATTGGCAAACACTGAGCAATGAGATTACTAGAATCTAACTCCAATAACATAACATATATTTTTGAAATGTTTTCTGCTCTCTAACTTACCTCTTTGAACTTGTGAGCGAGCTTGCTGGTGTCCACGTCACTTGGGGAGAACATGTCATCATTTTCAGGAAGATCAAACACTTCAATAGCCAAGTCACCTCCCGGAAGGACAGGTCCCATGTCATCATCTTCTTCATCTGTAGCATATTCCCCTGTCTTAATTTTATAGCATTTAAGAAATTCCAGTTATCCTCTTATTAGGCATAGACTGTTAAAAGTGCAGTTAAGCTAGTGGGCAAATACAGCATACTGCACAGACAAATAAAAGGTTCTATTTTTGTTTTGCTATAATCTAAGAAGATAAAATATAACTCCACAACAGTACTTCAGATCATTAAGAGATGGAACAAAAGAGTGTCTTAGGGAGTACAGGTTTCTAGGGGCTGGCATTACAGACTGTACAGCTGAGTGGTTTTCATCCTTCTACAGACATTTTTCCTTTCCACAGGAAGAACTCTCACAACTTATCTCAGTATTAACAAGGAAACTCATCCAAAAAGAGATGTAAGCTAAATAGGTGGACAGGATATCGATTGGCCTTTTTTAAGTCATGTGGAGGTAGTAATTCTCTAGTGATATTCCATACTGAATTTGAAAATCCACTGCTTAGTTCTCTATGTTCTAATTAATGACAGAAAAGTTCCACCTCCACAAAAAGCCTACAGTGGGAAAAAGAAACCAAGTATCAGAGATACCTTTAGGAACAAATTAGAGCTTACTGAATGTTTACTCTGCATAGGGAGCTGGTTTAGACAGTTTTAAAAACATGGGTGTTTCTTGGGCTTATAACCTATGAGACATGAATCATTTGCTGACAAAACATAATTCTAACAAACCTAAAAGCCACAAGCAGTATCTCGAAATTAGACAAAAACAATACTATTCAAAAGAAAAAGCTGGCAATATTAAAACCGTTCACACGTACACCTGTGCTCTTCTCCCAGTGCCAAAGGTGGCTGGATACCTCTCTACTTCAGCAGTGCTCCCTCTGTGAGCCACAGTATATTGCACACAAATCACAATTAGCGTGCAAACATATCAGAAAGCAAACACTTCCTTCAGGACCACTTCTAGATTTATAAAGCATGGGAATAGATAAACACATAGGAAAAAAAAAAAAACAAACAAAAAAAAGGAGGGAGAAGGGATGAATTCCTTCTCAAATACAGTAATGCTTATAACAAAATTTTGACCGTACTATACAAGTCTTAACGACAGTTCCTGATGTGAATGAACATCATCCTTTTATTACAACTCTATTCCTAGTAGAGCTCAAATTATTCTAGTGTCACTTTTCTCAAAAGAACTGTTCAAAACAAAGGTGAGAACTCAGATGTCCAAACAACAGTTCAACTCTCAACCTCCTACCTTAATTTAGCTTCTCAACTGTCATTTAGGCTTACATAAATCTATCTCAGAATTTGTTCACAGAAGCACACAAAGTGTAGATTCACAAGTTTGCATGCACACACGGACAGAATTGATGTATGTATGCATGCAGCCACAACAGACTGACACATTTGCATTATAAACATCACAATTTCTTGGATAAATAGCATATGAAAAATCAACATTCTTTTCTTTTTTGTTTGAACTGCTAAAGTTTTAAAAAGCAAAAAACTCGTAGCGCATGGAAAATACAAAATTATTTGGTAAAGTTTTCTGATGTTAAAGGAACTACCATAAAGAAGGCAAGGCATCATGTATGACCCAGCCATACTTTAAGCATTTAACGTGAGCAGTTTCTTAGGAGAGCTAACTCTGTCTCTGTACAAAAACAGCTATGTAGTCTGCAATCAAATATACAATAATCACTTACTTTACACATTTTATATGTATTAAAAATCTTACTAGTCTTCAACAAAAAAAATGAGCAGACGTTTTTGTTTCTTTTCCCTTTATTTAAGGCAAAGCACACAATTCATCTCACTCTGGAGTTTTCAGGCATGTTAGCACTACAGCTAAATGATATTTGAAACCAAGTTTATCATTCGTTGTAGATCTCACACATCTCCAGTTATGCTACACTTGTGATAACTGTTGTTTTCACTTAATCCTCCATTGCTATGTGCATTTACTGTCTAAACAGAAAATTATACTGCTCTTTCCTCTAACAGAACCTTCACACACTACCAGACAGGCAAGAAGCAGAACTCCAAAATCTCAATGGCGTTCCCACATTCAATGAATTACTGTGGGAACAAAACATTAGCACAGTTCACGTACTGTCAAATTTGCAGTCATTATCCCTAAAAAATCTATAAGGTGATGCAGAGTTATCACTTCTGTGTGGGAAGGGAAGGGAAGGGAAGGGAAGGGAAGGGAAGGGAAGGGAAGG